GGTGTGAGCAGAGGCTGCAAAGACAAAGACATCTCCATCCTCGCTCTCCAGATTTGCACCCTGAAACACCATTGGTGGTGGTTCTTGAACTGTGAGAATGTTAGGGAAAGCAGTGGCACTACAACTTTGTTGCTTCTGTGAATAATTTTGTAAACACGCATCTATCACACTTAACCGTGCTTGGTTTTTCTGGGTGACTCTTTTCCTATACCTACTATTTTATCTCTAGGCAAATTAGTTGCCAACCCTTAGGGCATCTGTCTTTCTAGTAGCTCTAATATGTGTCATCTCTATCTCCTCTGTCATCAGCCTAGATGAAAGCTTTGTTAAAGGTTACTTGGAGTGTGACAAGTCTAACCATCCTCATTCCCTCATCCCAGTGCTCAAATTCTCCTTTTTCCCTCCCTCACATTCCCAGTGTGTCACTGTGCTTCCCACCTCTGGGATGAAGCCCACGTGCCAAAGCCCCTTTTTAAAGGCACTATGCAAGATGACACCTCTCTGTCCACCAGATTAGTCTCACCCTTCCAAATTTCACTGCAGCCCAAGTGGTCTCCTCTCTGTTTCCTGGAAAGTCCATGTTCGTGCTCGATGCCACACATTGGCCCATGGTGGAACTTCCCACCCCAGGATGCCCGTGACCCGTTTCTCCACAAAGCTTTCCTCCTGCTACAGCCTGTGTGGGTGCCCACGTCTCTGGATTTCTGTATTACTTGGAGTGTGTGCCACTCATTTTTGCATGTAGATATAACATGGAAAGTCACTACAATATATCTATACTCACTGATTCACTCAAGTGTGTGTTTGTTTGTGGCATTGAGCCCAAGACCTTTCTATTGAGCTACATCCCCGACTCTTCATTTGTTTTTATTTCAGGGTAGGGTCTCACTGAGTCATTAAATTGCCCAGGCTAAGCTTGAGTTTACAGTACCCTACTCAGCCTCCCAGAGGCATCTGCAAACACTTGCACCTATTCTGTTATATCTAAATGTGCCCACCCCCACCTCCAGGATAGTTGTCAGTGCAAAGCATAATGCTAGCCTAATAAAAGATTTTAAATGAATAATAGATGTTATTTTTTCTAAGGTGAGCAAATGTATAAAGTGTAAAATGATGATAAACCACTTCCCTCTACACACATTTTACTAAGCTCCAGATATACAGGTATAAAAGTGATTCAAGTGAAATATTTATTTCTTCAATAGAAATTTATTATGGCTTGCTATGTACCAGCAATGTGCTAGGCACTGATTCAAAAATAAGTCACAGTCACAAGAAAACATCCTGTAATGGGGAAGACAGGCATGTAAATGCATAATTATAATTATGCATGGACAGAAAGGCCTCCTAGAAGAGGTGACTCCTGTGGTGGTTGTCAGAGCATGCGTAGTTAGATACATGGTGCAGTGCCACTTCTGTAGGAGGAAGAGCAGTAGGGCAGGGACATTATGTGAGCAAACAGGCAGAGGTGGGTAACCGCATCGGGGTGGGGAGGAGAGGCCACGTCAGGAAGAGCAGGTCTGTCCTGCTCAAGAGCTTGAATGAGATTCTTCTGAAAACTAAGAGTGGGATTTCATTGACCCAGCTACTCCACTTCTAGGTATCTTTCCAAAAGAGGTAAAGCCATCATTTTACAGTGATGTATGCGCACCCTCATTTACAGCAGAAAACTTATAGTAGCTAAATCCTGGAAGCAACATATATGCCCAACAACAGATGAATGTTTAAAGAAAATGTGGGATTTATACACAATGGAGTGCTACTTTGCCATAAAAAATTATAAATGTGCAGGAACCTGGATGCACTATGAAACCATGACGTTAACTAAAATAAATCAGAAATACAAACTTAAGTATTCACTCATTTTCTCTCATGAGAAACCCACAGTATAAATTTAAAAGAGTGAAGCACTAGAACTTGATCCTGTGGGTGACACTGGTGATATCCATTCAGAGAAGCCCTCAGAGTGCTTTCTATAAAGAAAGAATTTGTAAATTGGAATACTTGTGCAGCCCTAGAGATGAATTTGAAAGAATCAGGATTGGCTGCAGGAGACCAGTTTGGACCATGACAGCAGGCAAGGTAAGAGATGCTAAGGGCTTGCATGAAAGCCAGTGAGAGTTGGATGAAGAGGAGATGAGTTTAAACACTATTTATTTGGCAAAGTTCATAGGATGCAGAGATACAACAGCTTTGGGAGATCAGATGAGGGAACTGGAAGAGCCAAAGATGACCATCACTTTTGGCCTGGCAGACAAACACAAAGGCAGAGGTCCTGACTTATAGAAGGGACGGTGACTTCAGGGTGTGCTGTGTGAAATGTGAAGTGACTTCAGCATCACACTCAAAGTGGTCCCATGCTATGGCCATTGAGTGCCTTCTTCCTGGTATCATTCTTTCAGGGACTTCACTGCAAACCATTAGCAAAGTTATTTACTTTATCGGCTACCCACACCATGCTTTTTGTAGGCACAACTTTTCTTGGAAAAAAGAAAAAAGCCACTAAGTGGTACACATTAGTTTCGAATTTTCATTTTAAAAAAATGTGCTTTCTAAGAGAAAACTACTCCCTAGTCACTAAACTTAAATCATAATGAATTTTGACTCTTTCCAAAATCAAGCCAGCCCTTAATGATGTAGACTTTGTGTCCCTGGGGCTGTGGAAAAGAGCATGCCTCAGACTCTAAGGATTTCCAAGACAGTAGCTGCAGAAAGACAGCGGTGTGTAGGCCCCCAGTGTCACAATGCCAAGGACTGCTGTCAGCCTGATGTCTTTGTTCTGATGTGATGGTGAAGGGATGTATTGTATTTCTGTGTTACAAAGAATCATCAAGAAAAAGGTCTCTTCTTTTACTCCTGACACATGCAAAAGGCTGCATCTTTAGTGTATTAGCTCGATTTCTTCTTTCAGGATATTGAGAACAACCTAAATTTTGTTCTTTTTCTACTCCACTGACCTCTAGATGTTGGGCCCAGCTCTGAGCAAGAAGATGGTGGTAAAAATATGAACTGTAATGTCTCTACAGATAAAAATAACTGTAGGGGCCAGCAAGGTAGCCAGTCCCGAAAAGGACAGTGTTGTAAAAGAATAAGAAATGCATCCGCTTGAAGCTAAATTCCCTTAGCCATCTGCCACAGATGCTGGTACTGGGTGTAGAATGGAAGTAGAAGTCCTCGCTGGCCCTGCTGAGAGTGCCTGTCCTCCCCTCACACAAAGGGTCCCAAAGGCCAGCGGGGTGTGGTTAGAACTAAAATAAAAAGGAGGGTTTAGGCACCCCATAAAATAAATGAGGGGCACAATAACTGTACTCTGGTCACATTGCATCTTTTTCCAACCATTAATCCTCATATAATTTATATCAAACCCAAACAACACCTACTGCATTTTGTACTGTAAGAAATGGTAGTCAGGCTACCTGGGAGCTGGCCCTGGCACAGATACACCAGCATGTGTAACAAAACAAACATGGTACACTACAGTTATTCTCAGTAGTTTCATGAAGACAAGAGAGAAGACTCCTGCAGCTGTGAGCTCACCACCTCCGCCCCAGGTGGGCCAGGCCACCACTAGGAATTGTGAGGGCCAAGTGGGAGTGACCATTAGTATCTCCATATGCCCTTGTGGTGGTAAGAGCTGCTGAGTGTCATCGGCATCAACCTGACCGTGCAGCTCCCTTTTAGACAATTTGGACAAAGCCCTGCAGGATCATCCAAGGCTTCCTAGAAGGAAAAACTTATCAAACAAGGCCACCACCTCTTGGCTGATGAATTGAACAGTTTTGTTTCTTTCTCCGACCATTGAATTCTTACGTATTATTACCAAGCATCATAGTAGAAGTAGAAATGTGAAGAGAGCCTCAATTATAGTCAAGTCCAGCCCCTCCTAGCAGCCCTGGGATCAACTCAGGTTGTCCCTGCCACTCCATGTAAGGTTACTTGGGGGGAGGTATTGTGACACAGTGGCCAAACACATAGACTTTGGAGTCAGGCAACTCCCAGCTCCACCTTGTATAATCTATAGAGCCTTTGGTGTGTTCCTTCAGCATCTTTATGTCTCCATCGCCTCATGTGAAAATGAAAATAAAATCATTATATTGTGAAATAGCTTGAACATAAACTGTGATATAGCCTAAAGTACTTAGCTCAGTGACTAGACTAGAGAAGAGCACCCCATAAACGTCAGCCATTGCTGTTATTATATGCAACAGTCTGTGGCAGGCGGACAAAGCATGGGCTGAGAGTGAGGCACATGTCCTCCTCCCTCATTCTGCAGAAGGTTAGGGGAGAACCAGATAGAGCAGGCGGCTGCCCCAAACAGTGAGCTTCCCAAACCGAGCAGTGTGGCTTCCGAAACTAGTGGGAGCGCAGAGTATCCAAAGCCACTTGTGCAGCGTGCAGTGCAGTATTCTCAAGCCAGGTGGCTTCCAGAAATGACGAGCTGCTTTTTGTATTTTCATCTTTCTAAGCACTGAATTTCCTCAAAGCTACTAGAAATTCAACCACTAGAAATTCTGCTACTGTGTTTTTCTTCTAAGAAATTATACCTTTGATTCCATTCACCCTCTTTTTTGCCTGATACTCTTGCTACCAAGCACATCACATTCCAATCACCAGTTCTTCCCCCAAAAAACAAAACTGTACACCTCATACTCCTGCAAGCAAGTGACTTCTGCTGTGGAATGCCTCCAAGCTGCTCATCCCGGTCACCCCGTCTGGTTGGTCCCTCTTTGTTATCTCACAACTGCCTCTGAACTTCCTGCTTCCAATTGGGCCAGTGATGGTTTTATTTAACTTGTTTTGGCATTGCTGCTTTATTTCTGTTTTGATTTGTTCTCATTTAGTCCTGAAACAGCACAACATAGAACTTTGTGGCTCAAATTGCCTTCTGAATTTTCCATTTCACCCAAGTTGTCTGCGTTAGTAAGTGGTGGGTACCTCTTTAACTTGAGCAAAACTCATTCAGCTTCTTCTTTTCTTGTGCATCTCTTCTACTTTGCCAGGTCCAGCTGGGAACTGCCTGACCTGAGGGAAGGAAGAGTAAAAGCCATCAGTGACTCAGATGGGGTGAGCTACCCTTGGTATGGGAACACCACAGAAACTGTGACCCTGGTTGGCCCCACCAACAAGATCTCCAGGTTCTCCGTCAGCATGAATGACAATTTCTACCCTAGCGTGACATGGGCAGTGCCAGTGAGTGACAGCAATGTGCCACTGCTCACAAGAATCAAGAGGGACCAAAGTTTCACTACCTGGCTGGTGGCCATGAACACCACCACGAAAGAGAAGATCATTCTGCAGACCATCAAGTGGAGGATGAGGGTGGACATTGAGGTGGACCCTCTCCAGCTGTTGGGGCAGCGGGCCCGGCTGGTGGGCAGGACTCAGCAGGAGCAGCCCCGGATCCTGAGCCGGATGGAACCCATTCCCCCAAATGCACTAGTGAAGCCCAATGCCAACGATGCCCAAGTCCTCATGTGGAGGCCCAAGCGGGGGCCACCTCTGGTTGTGATTCCTCCTAAGTAGAAGCGGACTGGCCTGACTGTGTGGAGCACATGCCGCTGAGACACGCAGGGAGGTTGCCAGGGGTGGCAGGAGCCAAACTGAGTTTCTGAGCCAAAGCAGACCTCTTGGTTTGCCAGCCTTTGCAGCTGCTTGTGAAGAGTACAGCTGCTCCTTGGGTGGTAGAACCATAATCCTTAGGAAAAGTCCTTTCCTTTTAGGAATAAAGAAATCACTGATTTGACAGACTTGCTGTGATTACCATGCAAGTAGCCATATTTTGCAGCTGACCAGGATGATTCCTTTATTTGAACTATTGACCATTTCTTTCCTGTGAGATGCAGGGGATGGAAATGAAATTAAACAGTGCCTGTGGCGAATGCTGCTTCCCAACCAATTAGAAGTGGGAGTGAAAACATCTACACGAGATGTTCGTAAGACGGTCCTGCTGTCTGACTGGGGGCGGGGGGGCTCTGCTGGGAAAGTGGGTGGAATGAAAGTCGGGTGGTGAAAGAATAGGTGATGGGGAAAGGAAAGAATAAGCTGTCACAAGTTAGTACTTGTGCATTTATTTATTAATTGGTCATCGGCGACACACTGGAGGGAACATGGGAGAAAGCTTTCTGGGAACTGTCCGAGGTGCTGATATAAACTAATATCTCTCTATGGAGACTCTTGCTGGCTCCATCTACCCACCTCTTTCCAGAAAGACTGCATGTTCAAAGTATTTTTAGTCACAGCATTTGGATATATAGTTCCTGAATTCTGCAGTAGCTATTTTTGGGTCCCTCGCCATGTTTTTATTGATAGCCAAATTATGATTTTCTGTTTACAGCTGCTTATTCTGTTCCCATCACCAGCCCTGATTTTACAAAAAAAAAGACCTATAATCCATTTAGGGTTTCAAGAACACTTCAGCAAATAAGAATGGCATTTTCATTCTTTTTTTCTGTTTTTAGTTTCAGAATAATTGGAACACATAAAACATAGACATTCACACACACACACACACACACACACACACACACACACACACACCCCACACACCAGGATGCAGATAGCATAATAACCAGTAGATCTGCCAGCAACCCCTGAATATATATCTTCAGCCTCTGCATACACAATACATGCACTGTATGTCCACATACATTTGTTTTAGCTCTTTTCACAGCTTGAACATTTGTGAAAAAAGTACTTCCGAAAGCTTAACTTTAAAGTTCTTTACTGAAAACCTGAGCTATTTACCTTAAGCAAGCTGATATTGCTGAGATCCAGCCAATAATGGTGATAGGCCAATTTTCTTTTAGTGGATCTAATATAAAATTCTTTAAAAAGTTTCCAGTCTTTACAATGAGAACTTTTCAGCTCTTCCAACGTAAACTACTGTCCCAAAAGAGAGATTTTCCCTTTATTTTTACTAGTACAAATTATAACACACAGTGAAAGAGAGAGAGTTAAATAAAACACAGAGAATTCATTGTTCAAACTCCCCATACAAAAATTATAAAATTCTCACAGTGGCATACATTGAATGAGTGTATGCTACCAGGCTAATTTTAGAAGTGAGAGAGTTGAAATTCAGAGCAAGTACAGTCCCTTGGTTGGCTCCAAAGATCTGTCTTCTTCTGGAGTTCAGAGATAGAGAATGACAAGCAAGCAAGCATGTTTATAACTCTTATTTAAAATGTAGTTTAATATAGTTTCTTTCAGATTCTAGCCCCAAGGGATGCCACTTGTTTATGTAAGAGAGTTAACAGGACCACTCCAAATTACATAGCGTTAACTGCACACCCTAACCATCAGCTCCTCTTTTATAGATTAGCTGCTGATGGCAGGTTATTTATAGCAACACATTAATGACACATCAGTGCCTTGCAAAAGACCTGGAGACATTCCATTTAGGAATAATTCCCTTGTTACATTTGGATTCCTCTGTCCCTCCTGATGTTTCCTTATTTTTGAGAGAGGTATTCCCAGAGAGCTGCAAGGCAGAAAGTATAAATCTGCTCATTGCCTGCATTGATATCAGAAACAGCAGTTTCTCCCACAGTTTGAAGATGCCATCTTTAGAGTTTCTGGGGAGTGGATACTGATCCTAGAATATAACCCATCTCGTCCCACTTTAAGAAAATGTGGTTTTCAAAAATCCAGAATTGTAGTGATAAATAAGAAAAAATGTATGATACAAAATCTTACACAAGTTTTCAATTTTCAAATTTCCCTAGCCTGTTAGAGATGACATAACAGTTACATTTATACATAATGGAACTTTTTCAAAGACATATCTGTATTTATTAAATATATATTTGTACTTAAGCCAGGTGGAGCTTGCTTTAGCTAGACTCATTCCTCCAGAAAAAAATTATACTTTTCTAGAGTTTTTTTTTCATAAATCACCCAAAGGAGCTTTCTGGGAAATTATGTAATTAAAAAATGAGAGGAAAAATAGATGGGAAAGTCTTGCAAAAGCACTGTGTGAATATGCATTAAAATTATTGTCATTGATACTATTGGGAAGTCTACAATTAGATCTCTCAGTTCTGGAACCAGCCTGGCAGAGCAGTTCTATTGCCTCATAGCTGATTATTTTATAGTTACTATTTTCGAAGAAAAAAGGCTTATTTTCTTCCAGTGATCTCTGGATCACTGCTTTTCAGCTGGGTCAGAACATTGTCAAATAACAGACTCTCTAACAAGAGAGCGTTAACCTTGAAATCTCTGTGGGGGTTATTTCCATTTCCCCATCCCCTGCCTTGCCCTGAAAGTGCTTGGGATTCATTCAGTGGCTTATATTTTATAATCGGGCGGTCTCAAGATTAGATCTGTATTCTGTACACATACGTGGGGTCTTGTTTTGAATTCCTGGGCATTGCAGAGCATTTCATTAGATCTTAGATGAGGTCACCTTTGAGATCTGTTAGTCCATGATCTCAAAAGAAATTGAGGCCCTGATAAATTAGATAATTTATTCAGAGTCACATACCTAATCAGCATAAGGCCAGCAGCAGGCCTGAGGTCTCCTAGATCTCGACACAAGGCATTGTCACCTTACCTGGGTCCCAGGGCCTTGCTTTGTCTCCAGCCACAACACCATCATGATTGAACCATTTGCCCTGAGCCAATTAGCCCAAAAAATACAGAAAATTAGATCCAGCCTTTAAAGGGCAAGAGAAACCCCGTGTTACTATTATATCACAAAAATGAATATTTCAGATTTCCTTTTATCTGTGACAGCTGTTTGGGGGTTGAACCCTTAATCTGGGGTCTTTGATGACAGGATTTTGCCTTCCCAAGTCATTGCTGTGGCTCACAGCAAATGGGAAAGTTAGAGGCTGGTCCGTTTCTGCCTCCTGTTCTGTGGAACTTTTTTAGAGTTCCCTCTGCTGGGAATAATATCCTTAAGGTCAAAATCAGGTTGTAAACCAGGGATGGTGGCCTATAATCCCACCAGTCTGGGAGGCTGAGGCAAGAGGATCACGACTTTGAGCCTAATCTGGGCAGTTTAGGACTTAGCAAGACCCTCTCTCAGAATTTAAAGATTAAAAAAGGGCTGGGGATATAGCTCAGTGTGAAGGCCCTGGGTTTGATCTCCAGTACAAAAGGAAAAAAAAAAAAAAAAAGCAGCAGTCCTGAGTAGTATAAAAGAATTATGATTTATAAAACATTTTATATAAGGTTTTCACATGCATTTTCTTACCCCAGCTAATCTTATTAGTAATACTGTGTTCTTATTACTCTCCATTTTACAGAAGAGATTAAATGACATGTCCATAGACACACAAACAAAAAGGTCAAGAGCCAGGATTCAAACCAGGCCCTTTGGCTCCAAATCCCATACTCTTCCCCCGTGGGGTGCTGCTTTTTAATTCTGTCCTGTCTAGGATGCACAGAAGACAAAAGGAGGAGAGAGCAAGTCTCGTTCACTTAGTCACCGGTGCTTGCCTATCTGCCAAGCGGACTTGCTAAAAATAAGAGAATGAACTCTGCTCTGTTGTTCAGAGAGCCTTAGCATCCCCCTGGAGATTAGCCTAGAGAAAGGCCTGTCAGGGGCCACCGTGTGGGTGAGCTGGCTGTCACTCGGCAGCCGCCAGCACAGTACCAGTAATTAGCGGAGTAGAAAATCTGCTCTCCTGGCCTCACGCCACAGGTACAAAACCAAGGAGGAAAGCGTGTATGCCGCAGCTGAGGTCCCGGCCGAGGGAGGCCCTGCCTTTGCCATCACTAAGCACAGCAGGCACAGCCTGTGGGGGGCAAGCAGTGAGAACAATGGCTTTCCCAGCCCAGCTTGGCATATTGAACATTCTTGTTAGAACGGAGGGCACAATTAAACATTGCCGGAGCCAGCTCCCAACTGAGTTGCAAAGAAAGATGTAAACACACACACATGCACACACACACACAAAGACCCACCACACACACACTTTTCAAGCTGAAAAGGAAATTAATCAAAAGCCCAGTGAACGCCTGAACTCTATAATTAAGCCTAAATGATCCTTAGATAGCAAGGAAGCTGAGTGAGCCAGCTCCTTACCCACAGATATTTTTACCTCAGAGTCTTACTGCCGTTAATTTCTTTTGAGATCTTGAGGACATCTGGTTCCATTCCCTGGTAGGACATCTGCCCATGGAAGGCCTTCCAGAGAGTTGCTGGCTCAGTGACCAGAGGACAGCCACAGTTATTGGTCACTGTCGGACACTTTCACAGTGTCTGGGAGATGGGATGACATGGCCTCCCCAACCACTGTGAACCTCCCCCGACAGATTAAGGCACAGTCAAATGGTGCCCAGGTTGTCTACAGCATTACCTAATAGACGACACTGTCACATTGGCAGAGCCACAGGACCTGGAGCTGTTTGCAGAGCAACAGGTCCCTCCTATTTCGCCACCCAAAACCCATCCATCCTGGCCCCAGAGGATGGCGGGTTTGGACATGGCTACCCCAGGCCACCTTGCCGGAGAGGCCTAAACACTGCAGCAGTGAAGGAAAGGTAATCACTGCGCAGCCCTGTAGGAAGAGGCTCAGGAAAGGCCTAACAGGAACACTAAGAGAAAGCAAAGAGAGGAGCCTGGGCCTTAGCCGTGGGCCACACTTGAAATCCCAGCACAGTTTGCTGAGGCTGAGTGGCTAGCAGAACCAGCCAGGAGCAGCTCATTCTTCATGTCACAGGCTCAGGCCAGAGAGAGAGAGAAGAAAAATCCTGGGTACTCAGAGCTTTATGTGGATTTCTGCTGGCCTGACTTCCTGTCATTTGGGCTGGAACCTCATAGTTTGGGAGTGTCATGTGAGTACAGAAAACTGAGGACATGCTTGTAGTCACCCGACACACTCCAGGCTGTCTTACATGCTGTGGGCCTATTTGGTTACACTCCCTTTTCCTAATCCTCCAAGTTTGCCTGCCCTCACTGTCTCTGCACCCCCAATTGTGCCTCTGTCCATCTGGGCTGGAGTGTGGTCCCTTAGAGCACCTGACCAGCCCCTTTCCCCAGCTCTCCAGGCAGCAGGCAGTGTGGCCAAGCAGGAGCCTCTGTTCTCCTTCTGTGCCTAGTGAGCCCAGGAGACGGATGCAGGCTCTTACTTAAAACGGCTGTGTGTTTGGTAGGAAATGCCCAGAGGCAAGAGAGCGGGCCCAGGAATAGAGCAAGGACGGGGTGATGCTAAGGCACGCAGGACCCGGTGCCTCACAGTCCTCACCAGGGGTGGTGACGGTTACAGACAGTGCTGTGAAGTGTTGAAATGGTGGCATCGCTGTAGAGCTAATCTCAAGGAGGAGACAGGAAGCAGGGCAGGATGCTTTCCTGCATGCCAGGCCTAGGACTAGGGCAAGCCAAGCAAAGCAGTGAGGATGCACCATGTGAGAAACATTCGCTCTCAGGGCGACAGAGCCAGCAGCCCAGCATTGCATGCCCCTGTGAGAGCCAGACGCCCAGGTATTTTCCTGGGTGCCTGATTTGCATCCCTACTCTCAACCCTGCTCCACACCTTGCTTCAAAAGAAGAGCAGGGAGAGTATTGGGGGAGCCTTCTAAATCCCTATTCTCACAAGAACTTTATATGGGGGGAGAGGGATCACCATGTGCCACATCTTGGCCCCAGGGAAATAATGCTCACAGGAAGCTGTGGGAGTCACTCATTTCCCTCCTGGGGCTGCACAGTATAGGGGAGTCCAGAACCTTGCAAAGTGCCCTCTTAGTCTTCTCTCTATTCAGAACATCAGTCAATCTGCCTGTAACCGGCCTGGTCCAGTTCCTTTTGAGCCAGTGAGGATGGAAAGGTGACAGGGTGGGACTTCTCTCAAGCACTGTGAGCTCTTGCCAGGAAAGGGACTGGGGAAACCTAGCAGCCACATTAATACACCCAACAGCAGGATGGAAGAGACAGCTGGTTATCCCTCCATCTGCTCGTGTCCTTTGCCCCCACCCTTCAAACCAATTAGAATATTCCACACAGATGTGATCCAATGAAATGTTAATTGGGAAAAATAACAGGAGAGATAATACATGCTCTTTGGGCTGAGAACTATTTCATTAAACTGGGCTTTGAAAGCAAGACAGCCAATTAAATTATTTCCCACTTCGCTCCCTTACATACCAGGGACTGTGGAAAGCTCTTACTTCTAATTAATTAGGAAAGAGAAAAGAAGACTCTGCACATGTATATTGGATGGACAGAAGCTACGCCACCTACCTCTTTGTGTGCATACCTGTGTATGTACTTGAGCATGCACACACACACACACACACACACACACACCAGGGAACTAAGAATCATTGCGCTGTCTGACCTAGAGAATTTAATTGGTCTTCCTAAATAGCAATAAAATACCTGCTTCCATGAACCATTCATGGCCAGACAAAGGATGATGTCTTCTTTGGAGACATTCATTAGCTGAGAAATAGGGCATTTTTTGTGAGAGAATAAATAGCCTTAAACTCAGCTTTGGTTCCCAAAAACTTTTTGCAGCCAAAAATTGATCTTGACTTTTTGTCGTCAGTAGATATTCCCAAGCCAGTTCTGTATACCAAACCCCATGCTCATTGCCATGGTGGTCTCTTACCAAGGGAACTAAGATACGTGAGGCCTGATTTTTGAATTGACTTTATGAAAGTCTCGTGTAGGTCACCTTGGGCACCTCCACTTTTCCATCTGTGAAATGGAAAGAAAGCTCATTGTCGGTGCTATATTTACCTCCTCAAAGTTATGAGGCTTTCAGAAAACACTGACAGTGAGTGCAGAGATTTTTGCCTTTCTTTGGGAAGACTGATAGAATTCAGCCATGCTGTGAAAATATTGTCTAATACATATGAACAATAAGGACTATAATAGCCATATAAAGCCGCTGTCCTGGTGAGGTGATTTTTGCACTTGGTATTATCTGTGAGCAGTAGGTTGACCCTGAGGTTGGCTGAAGGCCTCAGCACGTGTGTCCCCACACCATATCCCCTCCCTCTCCTGTCTCTACCTTACCTGCTATGTGAGATACCACGGGCTGCTGAAGTCCAGCAGTCAGTGCCTCTCACGGGTTTAACCAACCTCATGATTACAGGAAGGGGAACTGGCATTTACTGATATGGAAGAGCTGTCCCAGGGCACAGGGTCCACAGAGAAACATTCTCTAAAATGAGTTTCAGCCTAATTCCTCGTTTGTGTGTCTAATGGAGTTGTCAGCTAGTTTCAGACCTTTGGAGTAATTGGCCATCGACATAAGAATTTGGGATTTTTCTCCCTAAAAATGAAACCATGCGTATAATGTGAAAAAACCAACAGTGTACCTTCATTTGTCGTCATAAAAAATGTGCATTCTAGCAATCCATCCTTGTTACATAAATCTAGTGTGTCAAAATTCCGAAGATAAATAGAAAAATGATCATGAAAAAAAGTGCCCAGTGCTGGCTTCACCTAAGATCAACTCCCTTCGTGCATTAAAAAATACTTGCTAGAGAAGGGCTCAAATGCTGAGATAGACCCGCAGCCTTCCCTTTATTTTTAATTATAAGAATTCAATTTACCCACTTCTGTAGGGTCACGACTATTACATAAAGCAACATATAGAAGTACAAAAAATAGTGGGGCAGCACAATCTTTTTTTTAAAGAAAAGTTGATTGGCAACTCCAGGTTGAACACTGGAGATACCCCCGGAAATAGGTTTCCAGCTGGGGATAGTGGTGCATGTCTTCAGGAGGCTGAGGCAGGAGGATTGCTGCATTCAAGGCCAGCCTGGGATACAAAGTGACTTCAAGGACAACCTGAACTGCATGGGGAAACCCTGTCTCAGAAATAAAAATTAAAAAACACCAAGAAGCAAGTTTCCACACATTTGGCACATGTGCCCGTGACAAGATTACTGGTGAGACTCCACAGCTGTGGTCAGTCAAGTGCCCCAAGACTTCTTTGTGCCTTGCGTCTAAGAAACAAGGCCATGAATAGAGGTGGTATGGATTCCCCACCCATTTCTCTGATGTCTTGCAGATGGGTTGCACATATAAATGACTTAGAATTCTTTACTATTATTTTAATCCTTTTAAAGAACCAGATGAAAGAGACCCTACTTATAGAGAAATGCATATGAAAATACTCAAAATTTGGTAAAAGATTTCAAAGTTATACCCTTGAAGTCTCTTTATGAAGCCCAGATATGAAGGAACAGCATTTCTTTGGTCACTGTCTTAATGCCCGCTCTGTTTACGTGTTTCTGTTTCCACATGCAGGTCTCCTAGTAAGACAAGGCAAAGCCCAGCAAGCAGAACCACATGGCAGAGACTGAGGAGGAAGAAATGCACACTGGCTGGTGGCTCCAGAAGCTGAAGCCCTGAACCGCTGGTTCCCTTTAAATCGAGTGCCATCCTGCCTATCTCCTCGCCACCCTCCCATCCTGTGACCAGTACCTCTTGTCCACCCTACCATATGCCCAGCTGGGCTGGCTGGTTGGCTGGTGGGGAGCTGTGTTGAGGTGGGGCTGTGCCTGCCGTATCTTTTTTGTGTATAGAAAAGATTGGGTTGATCCAGACCTCAAGTCTCTCCCAAGCCCACCAAGTGAAGCTTCCCAAGGACAAAGAGCTGATCAACCTGGACTTCAAATAGCTAACATGGCCCAGCCTCCTGTCCCTCCACTCTGGGGTGGGAAATAGGAGTGTGTGTCTCCTCTCCTCCCATTCCACCTGGACGGCTAGTGTTAATAGTCTTTTGTGCTTTCTCTAAGGTCTCCAATCCTTGGAGAAACAGGGCCAAAGCAGTGCTTTCCCCTACCGTGGCCAGGCTGGGTTCCTTCAGGTGGCCAAGGACAGAGTATGCATCCTCAGGATCGGTGGGGCAAGCAGCGAACTACCCTAAGAAAAAACATTGTGCACTGTTTTATTTATTGATTTGCTTATTTATTTATTGGCATACCTACTGGTTTAATTTATTTATGAAATATGTATTTATTACACAGCAGAAAATCCACTTCCATCTTTGAAGCATCAACCCCAGAATTTGTCTTCTTGGCCCCATAGAGCACAGTGAATGATTCCTCTTTTAAAGATACAGGAAAGAGGGGAAAGCCTCTCCTTTGCCCAAACACTTTCTCCCCAGCCAAGTTTTTCAACCAGAAATGGCATTAGAAACCACCAGCTAGAAGGGCTGGAAAGCCACCACACAAATCAGCACAGGCTTGGGTTACCAAGACCGAAGCTCTGAGTCTTCCCAGCCCACTCCTCTTGTACATGTCCTCCCCTTCACATATTTCCCTGACTTGGCTGGGGCCTGGCCCTCCAACTCCAACCTGAGCATCAGTCCTCATCCCACTTTGGGCCACATGTCTGTCACCAGATGCACATTAGAAACCTCTGAGGAGCTAGAAAGGGTGTCCATGCCTATCTCTCCAAAACAGTTACAGCAGAATTTCCAAGGGTAGAGGTCGGGCATCCATGCTTTGTAAGTTCCCCCGGATAACTCCTTTGTGAAAATAGAGTTAAGAAGTATTTCCAGTGTCTTCTGTCCTTCACCCCTTCACACTACCCAGATCCCATCCTGTCATTGCCAAGCTTCCTCTGGAGTCCTCCCATTCCTCCAGCTGACCTCTCTGGCAGAGCCCTGGAGCCAAATGCTAAGAGTGGGACCTGCTCCCTGGTAGGTAATTTCCAGCTTTTCTAGGAGCAGAAACCTGTTCTCTGCCCAGATTCTATCTCCTCCTGCACCTCCCCCAGTCTTCCAAACTCTGGAAATTGCAAAGGGCACATTGTTGACATTCCTGTTTCAATCCTATCCTGCTCCTAATAGTAAGAACCATGCCAGTCTTTACAATCCAAGGCTTAACCATTTCTGCAGAGCCATCTCAATAAAAAGTCTCCTGGTGACCAAGGAAGTGGTCCCATTGTCCCCAAACCAAGTCCTTTGCCCTAAAATCTGGCAGCAGCCACCCCACATCCAAATTCTAGCTGGCTAAGAAGAGGCGTCTTACCCTTCACATTTATTAGAGGCACACTGCTGAGTGTGAGTAAATGTGAGTGTGTGTGTATGTGTGTATTTAGTGTCCAGCTGTACACTATCCAGAGATGCTGATTGCAACATTTGCCATGAAAGCAATTGAGGATTTTACAGTCACAGGGGACTGGTACTGTGTTTAGAATGGGCTCAAGTAAATCCCATATTCTGTAGTCACACAGAAGGTTGTAATATATAAAGACTGCTGGGCACAGTATACACACACACACAGTGTCTAAAGAAGCCTGTTATGTGAGAAGAGCTCATCTTGCTATCCCTCCTCCCTCTAAGTAATTTCCAGGGGCAAGCATTAGGTTGCACCCCTCATCTGCCCTGCCCCTCCCCATCCTTCATTCATGCCACCAGGCCACCTTTCCTATTACCTTTAGTCAGTATGTCCCGGCCCCAAGTCTCATCTCTCAGGGTCCTGCTCTCTGACAGGTGGCAATTCAGCAGGGGGTGCTAAAGAGTTAGGCGTTAGTTTCCCAGGTGACATTTATGTTTTAAAGGGGCTATAGATAATGCCTTAATCCAGAGGAGAGCTTTGGTGGAAATTCCAGGCACAGAAGAGGGCCTGTAAGGGAGTTTATTTTATCAGAAGGGCATTTCAGAGCACCCACGTCAAAGCCATCTCTCAGATCAGCCCTTCCTAAGCACGTGGGCACAAGCAAGCACACTTAACTAATGCAGGTATTCCGTAATTTTAAGGTACCTCCCCTTACATTGGCCCTATCCTTAAAAATGGGGGAGGAGTTAAATTAATTTAAACCTCATTGAGTAATGTAGCCTATTCCTCACTGAGCACCAGCCATCTGGTCTACCCCACCCTGTTCCACTTCCTCCCGGCTCCTCTTTTCTGCTACTGCAGCATCTGTTAACTTGCTCATGTGTCCGTTCTGCACTCTCCTTCCCTGCTCCTCTGTATGTCCATCCTTCCCTGCTCCCCCTGGAATTGTGCTGTTTGTCAGTGTTGTCGAGGACAGAAGAGCAGGTTAAGCGCATGAGCATGTGTGTATCGCTTTGAAGAAAGAGAAACCAGGTATTCTGCTACAGTTCGGAGAAAAACCCACTGAAGGGGGAGATGAAAGCTGGCTCTGCAGAGTGCCTTAAAATGACTTTACTTAGGAAATTCTGAGTTGTCAGTCTTTGGATGTTACGTGAGCTCAAACGGATGTTGCATTTCACTTCTCTGGGATTAAAAGAAGTTAAATACAGTATGTATTCAACAACAACAACAAAGTATACTTGCTCTTTAATTTGTTCCTTAAATATGTAGTGCCTGATTCTGCACAAAACCTGGGGAATGCCCCAAGCACCCACAAGTTCTGGAACATACAGAGAGCAGGTACAAGAGTCCTGCCCAGCTGAGAAAGCACCGACAATGTGGGCAGAAAGCTGCAACCAGACATGATCCAAAGGCAATTTTACCACAAGGAGGAAGTGTGGAAGCCAGGCACAGTGGCCCACACTTAGAATCCCAGCACTCAGGAGGCTGAAACAGGAAGCACGCTTGATTCCAGCCTAAATTACATAGTTGGTCCCACCGTAGACTGTATAGCAAGATCTTAGAGAGAGAGAGAGAGAGAGAGAGAGAGAGAGATATGAGGCTATCACAACACAGCAAGGGGGGGAGGGATCCTCGCGCTTCTTCTTGATCAGATTGTATTGATTTTAATTCTTTGGGTCTTCTATAACAAAATACCATAAATTAGTGAGGTTATAAACAACAAAAATTTATTTGTCACAATTTTAGAGGCTGGGAGGTCCAAGAACAAGATTCCTGCAAATTCTGTGTAGGCCCACTTCCTGGTGCATGGACGGACTTCTGTGTCCTCATGGGCTAAGAAGGTGGATAGACCCCCCCCCCGGGGGCCTCTTTCCAAAGGCACTAATCTGAACTGCAAGAACTCCTCTTTCACCATCCAATCATCATTTCTCAAGGCCTCACTCTCAAGTGCACAGGATTGGGAGGTAGAGGCACAAACATTAGAATGTACCCTAGTCTCTGATTAGATGGTGTTAAATTGGAAGAGGACCTCCTAAAAATGCAGAGTGGATCTTGCCCTCCCATCCCTCCCTGCCAGCACTGTCCTGCAGCATTCATAACCAGTGTCCACTCTGCTTTTGCTAATGCTTTTCTCTCAAGACACTGACCATGGAGATCCCACCCATACAGGTTATTTTGAAAAGTCTGAATTCCTGAATACAATTGGATTTTTAGGCTTCTCTCTCAATCTCTGTCTCTCTGCCTCTGTCTCTGTCTCTGTCTCTCTCTGTCTCTCTGTCTCTGTCTCTGTCTCTCTCTCTCTCTCTCTCTCTCTCTCTCTCTGTCTCTGTCTCTCTCTAAGGGTCAGACTCATCTAGGAAGGGGTGGGAGGGTGTCCTGATGAGCACTTGAATTCTGAGAACTCGCTGGGGTGGGGATACAGCCACAACTCTGTGGGCTCCAGCTGTCAGCATCTGCACCCTCCTGCCTCTCCCCACTGCATACTCCCTGACCCAGCCCTGCCTCTGTGGATGCCAGAGCTGAGCTGCTAAGTGCTGGGTGTTATTCAGCTAACAGCTGCTCGCTCTACTGCACTTTTTATTCAAATCTATCATAGCTATTTTTCACAAGAGTTGTGACCTTTCTGTGAGGTCAGCAGTTTTAAGAGCTGAGAGTCACTAATTCATTCTCTCTCTCTGTCTCTGTCTCTCTCTGTCTCTGTCTCTCTCTCTCTCTGTCTCTGTCTCTGTGTCTCTCTCTCTCTGTCTTAAAAGACAGAGAGATGTAAACATCACAACAGAGTAAAGACACCCAGATACAGAGATAAACTAGTTTCCACTTCTAAAAAATATTCTTAAGAACCTCCGCTGTCATGCACTTCATGGAGTGCAGGGGGGAGGGTACTTGTTAACCAGATACATTTATCACCTAAGATCCCCTGCCCTGTGTGTGCTCAACTCTGCAGGAAGCAGCTCCACTGACACAGTTCAGAAAAGGGATCCTGCTCCTTTCCCATCAGAAACTGGACTGAGGTGCACTCAGGACACTCGCGTTGATTCCTTTGTTGGCTCACTTTAAGGAAAAAGCAGTGCCTTGGCTGAAGGGCTGGACTGCAGGACCTCCCTGCGCCCTGCTCAGCTCTAAGGCAGGAATGAGGGGCGGGGAGCGCGATGGGAGTTGAGGCGCACCCCACATATGAGTGGCATTTCTCACTTAAAGAAATCTGTAAAGTTGCATGTTAAACTCTGTAGTGGTTTGGGAAAAGGAACAAAAATGTGTCCGATTTTTTTTAAAAAATCAAGCTATTACACATTTCAAGAAGATACTTGAGGCTTGATAGTAGAGTATTCAAACATAGCTCTGTATTTGTTATTTATGTGAAGAAATAATATGGCCAGCATGGTCAACTTGGGCTACAAATATGATTGCATTTATTTTCCAAATGAATTATTTGATCCCTGTGAGTCTCTGTTTACAGAAAGCACAGTTATCCCTTCTTGAAAGTTCCTGGGCCAACCCATCCCCAATTTCACAAAGACTCTGTGTCCCCAACGCTCATCCAGTGAACCAAAACACCAAGCAGAGCCCAGGAATGGAGCACACCTGTAATATTAGCTGCTCAGGAAGCTGACTCGGGAGAAGTACAAGTTCAAGCCCAGGCTGGACAAATCTGTGAGACTGTCTCAAAATAGAGTTTTGAAACGGACAGGTGATGTAGCTCAGTGGTACAGTGTCCCTGAGTTAGATTCTTAGTATTGAAGAAAAAGGAGGGGAAAAAAAGAAACAAGCAGAAAAACAAGGTCATGCCCATTGCCTGAGGGTCTAAGAGGGTGGTTTACTGTAGCCAGGATGTCCAGGACAGGAGCTGCCCCCCAGGCCCAGTGTTGGGCCCAGTGCTGTGCCCACTACTCCCAGAGTACAGCAATGCCAGGATTCAATCACAACAGGCCAACACCTAAGCCCTCTCTCACCATGCAGTAACTGCCACTCTTCCTGGGCTCTGAGCCCCTGGCTGTGCCCCTTGGCCACCCCAAGGGGCGGCCCAACCTTACACCTGGGAGGAGTGGAGCTCCCACTGTCCACCTCACATCAATTCCACATTCTTTCCACATGTTAAGGGATTTCTTCACTTTCCAAGTGTCCTCTTTTCCTTGGAGTCCTATTTTGCATAACTAAAGGGCATCACTGAGGAGCAGGGCTTCTTATTTCAGCAAATGCTTCCTGAATGACCACCAAGTAAGCAGACACAATTCCATTTCCCCTCCCTTTTGCCTTTCCTCCCTTCCTGTGGTGGGAGCAGAGATGCACAATGAACATCACAAGGAAACTGTATACTTAGGCCGTGAGAGGTACCATGGGAGGGGAAGAAAGGGCAGATAGGGGGACTCGGGTGGATGGGAGAGTTGCTCCTGTGTGATCTTCTGTCTGAGTTATATCAAGAAGCACCCATCAAATGCATTTACTAAAATAACACCTATAATAACTCTAACTTTGCAGGCACCCCTCAGGTCTCTGCATTCATGGGCTCCCTATTCTGCAAAAGCCTTCAGAGCTACTCTTTACAGGTTCCGAAAAAGAATCGCGTTCAATGTGTCTTGCCATTACAACTGAGGGAGACCCCATTTGTTTCTTTTGACTGAAACAAAACTTTTCCAGGGTCACACAGCCTCCTCCAGGGTCAGAGGATCGCAGGATAGTCCTGTTGGCTCCATTCAATGATTTTTCTCAATCCTTGTGAATAGCATATAACAAAACACAAAGCCAGAAGATCTAAAATTGAGACCCAGCATTGCTTCCTAGTAAGTGGGAAAAAAAACCCTTTAAATGTCCCCTGCAGACATAAGATTGCCTGTGGAATTACATTATAAATCATAAGGCACAAGACAAATGTGAGGCTTTGGGGCCACTCTGCAGGCAGTCTCAAAACTCTGCTTACCTACTATCTATGTGATTCATTAAGTAAATAAATATAATTAAAAGGAGTTATTTTTATTACATGCTGCACACAACTCCCAAAACAATCCCTACTCGAGTTGGGAAATTAAAACAGTATATATTTTCAGTCTATAAGCTAATTATTGGATTCAAAGCAAGCCCTCCTTAAGATGTTCACTAAAAGCAGGTGCACAATTATGCTAAATGGATTGAAGAAGCACTGGTGGGCGGCCCTGGTTATAAAGCTCCACGCACTCTCTGATTCCGCACAGCATGGGGAAAAGGACATCGGTGTGACATTCCAAGGGTGTGAGTGAGAACGATTGGATTTACTGTTGTCTTCCAGACCTCTGCTTCCCCTCTTATTCCAGGCATGGGACCGTGCCCACCTGGGAGCAGTGTGCGCCACTTTGGCCTGAAAGGCAGCCAGTCCTAGTCCATCAGTCTATGCTGTTAAATAAGACAACCCTGCATCTGGGAGCACATAAGAGAAGTCAGCTTTGAGAGGAGAGGCAAACTCTCCCTTCTGAAAGGGTCTGAAATCTAGCTGCTTATTCCTTCTGCTACTACATAATGCATGTCTTGCCTATTGTAAAAGTCTATGAAGCCAAAGATAAAGCACTAGCTTCATAGAGCTGCCGAATATCACCTGCTGTCTTCTCTTCATGGTCAGCACAGGAGATCTTAGACCAACAAGAAAAGACAAGTCATCTCCTCACCATCCCTCCAGGTTGGGGGTGGACAGAAGTGTCATTTCCCTGCTCCACACCAGCAAGAATCCAAGGGAAGTTAGATAAAATGGCTCAAAAGACAAAGGTATCTTCATGAGCTCAGGTTCAAAATGAAGGGGGTCAGCTTCATTTCCAGGCAGAGAATCTCAAGGTTAGAGAGTAAGCTGAAGAAGAAGATGAAAGTGTTGCCCAACTTCTGACCCCAAGACTGGATCCTTTTTCCCCTCTCAGAATTAAGGAGCCAATAGCAAGACCACACACCAACCAAGCAGTGAAGGTTTTAGTTGCTCAGAATTAAGGGAAGTTGGGAGAGAAAACTCACAAATCAATCCCCCACCTATTGGGGGTCAGAAAATTATAGACAAGGGGTAAAAGAAATGAGGGAGAGAGGTAGTCTAGAAAAGGGAAGGAATAGTCATCTATTTTCCAGGAATGCAGGCACCACCTCTTTTCCTCGTTTTATTTATTTATCTTTTTTTTTCTGGTCGCAGTCATGGCAACAGCCATGACTCTGGGAGGAGTGTCACTTAGCATGCCGCTGAGGTTATAAAGAAGTTAGCCATGTCTCTGGAAGTCGTCTGTAGAAT